AAAGCCAAGCTGAGCAGAGCAGAGCAGAGCAGAGAAGTGGAAAAAAATGGAAAACAACAATGGGAAAACCGCAACGAAGAATGTTTTCATACGCCCCGTGTGTCCGTGTGCCAAAAGGTGCAAAAATGTAGCAGCCGTTAAATATTTGCACGAGTAACAGCAACAGATTTTCAAAAGCGTTTTAGGTCCGAATGGTCTTTCAGATGGCCGATGGGTTTTTGGCCAAGGCGGATCTGCATAATTCTCTGCTGACCTCAGAAATCACTGCATTATTTGAATGGTCAGTGGCAAAGTGGCAAGTGGTAAAGGCAGGTGGCTGGTGGCAGTGGCAGGTGGAGAGCGAAATTAAGAAGGGGATGCTTTTCCAACTTCTGTCGGTTATGGAAGGTATTACGAATTTCATAATTAGAAAGTTTCTTTTCCCTGCTAATTAAGGCAGCTTCCTTCCGGTTGGAAGGTACAAGAAAAAAGGTATCCCCCTCCCTCAGTCATATCTCTCATATACTCTAATTGGCATCGTAATCAAATATACACCCGTGTGGAAAACACACACTCATACATAATTGAGGCAAGGGAAAAGGGTTGGAGAAAGTCGGCTTGGGAAAAGTCTCGACATGCCGAGCAAATGAAGCGAGTGCGAAAGATGATTTCCATTATGAGACAGCCAATAAAAGAAGCCGAGCAGGTAAGACCCCAAAAATTATGCGAGGGCGGATTTTAGAATTGGGCTTTGGAGGAAGGTAACTAGAGACTTCACGTCTAGAGCTGATTACTTCACTAATCCGATTCAGATTCCAAAGAAAAGTGTCTCTAAAAGATGTACTATTCTTAAGTCCTGACTAATTTATGGAATGACTTGCCGAAAGGTGACCCAGAACCTTTTTTCGTAACCTCATAACTTCGAGAAGAAAATATAATACTTTACCTTCTTATTAATCTTAAACAATCTTAAAAGAGATTATCATTTAAACCTTCGAAGATAAGTTTAAAATTCTCTAATATAATCCTCTTGTTTTTCCTTCCTTTAAATCCAGATTTCATAGCTAACTAGCCAAGAACTTCTAGATCTCCCCCATTGAGAACTCTTTTCAACTTCCATGATGACTGCCTTAACAAAACTCATCCCAACTCATCCCGCGACCCATTGTGAGCCGTCTAATTCGGTTTGCTTGTTTATCACCTTAATTAAGACCCGGCTAAAAGCGCTAACAAATGGCTAATAAGAAAAATGAATTTTATTTATAAGGCGCGCGGGAGCATGCAACAAATGGGGGCAAGTGCGAGGACTCCACTCAACTTCCACTCTACTTTCCACTCAACGCATCTTCGCTCATCTCGAGTCGGCTCTTAACCTCTCGATGGCCCCCCGCCCATGTCCTTAGCCCCTTAACTCCTTAACCCGTTTGGTGATGGTCGCCAAGGGATTTGCTCATATGAAACGTGTTAATATGCGAGGCGGCACACGGTCGAAGTGGAAGGAGAGGTGGGTGGCTTGGCTGGTTGGGTGGTACGGGCTTTGGATGGAGTAAAAGAATGCCCGTTGAGAGGCTAAATCAGCGTCTCAAGTGGTTTTCCTCTAGCTCTTTATGGCGCTTATTTGCACTGCAAAAAAAGAGTTTACAAAACTGATATTTGATTTCATTTTTTAGTTTTAAGTATATAAAATAGTTAGTTGTAGTAAAAAATTAAATTACTTTTATCTATAATTTTTCCAAGTGCAGATATATTTTTCTCTCCGTGCCCTTCTGATGGCCTCATGTGAGTCGTCTGAGCGTCTGTGTGTCTTGCCGTTTGTTTGAAATTTTAGCAAGCCTCGCAAGTAATGGGTAGAATTTTTAATTATTTACACTCACACACCCGCCCCGAATACTTCACGGCGAGCTAATTTGTTATGCGAAACATCTTCGGCATGGAAATAATTAAAAAGTTTTTTTTGCAGCCCTTGCCTTCACTTTGCACCCCCACCAACCCCATGTCTCTATATCTTTATATCCCTTTATCGATCTCTTATTTATCCGGAGCTTAAACCGTGTCCCTTAACCCCCGTCTGGCTACCTTTTTGCGGTCTGCCCGCCTCCACTCCGCTTTTGTTACGCCTCGCGTCACGGAGTCTTGCAGCTCTCGACTGTATTTTTATGGCCACATACGTGCGGGCAGGTGAGATCCGGATGGACTCCTCTGAATCTGCCCGGTTCCGGCTGGTGGACTGCTCGGTGGCTCGGTTTGCAGCTTAATTGGATGCCACAATGTGAAATAAATTGAGCAGAAAATTACGTTGCCCGCCAAATCCAAACCACACGGAGATGGCATTAGAAAGAGACGGCGAGGAGCGAAAGGGACAGGCCAGGGAACCGACCAGGTCATAAGTTTTCGATCCGGCCAATTGGCCCCTGAGGTATCGTTAAAAAGACTGGCGAGGAAATAGGAGGAAAAACGAGAATAAGATTGTCTGCTTATATTGTTTGGAAAATTAAACAGAAATCTGTAAAAAATATTTAAAAAATTAAAATATAGATATAAATATTTTTTTTTTATAATATATAATAATATATATAAATATATAATATAAGTATAGAAAAGATTTTTATGTAATTTAGTTAATTATCAAATTTACCTTCTTTCAGATTCTTTATATGAAAACCTTTAACTGCTTTGCAAATAAATCAAAATAATAGTATTTTTAACATCTTTCAAACAAAGTTAAGCAACTATAGATAAGGATAATGTCCTAATATATTTAGCACTTATTTACAACTGTCGTATTGAGAAACAATATTTTAATAATGGTGATAGTCCAATTATTCCGTTTAAAAAGCAACCAAATGTTAGGATATGTAAGCAGGTTGCTGTTGGTATTTTTACTTAGTCTGATTTAGTCTGTCTTCCAAAAAATGACCTCCGTTTATGCACTGAGAAAAGAACCAACTCCCTCCCTCAAATAACAAGACCATACTCATAATTTGTTATTAATTTTCATAATTTTATTTAATATAATTGTTGAATTTAAGTTTTATTTAGATCTGTTTTTGGTTTTTGCTTCGGCTTAGTGTTCCTGATCCTCAAATAAAATGTTTAATTACATTTATTTATTTTATTACAAAGAACTCTCATTGGTTGTTTTTGTTTTTAATATTGCACAAAATGTTGGTTTAATTTCTATATATTTGAAATATGCGGGGATCTTGGCTAAATTATACACATAGTTTCGGTAATTCTTTGTGTTTTTTTTTTTTATTTCCTGTGGTATACATCAATTACATTTTACTTCGATCCTGTTAGTTAGCATGTGTATATTATATATATACTATATATAATATATATAAATATATATATTAAAGAATGTGCTATCTTGGACATGTCTAAACGATTCCTTAACTCTAGTTACCGTTCGCGTAGTATAGTGTTTAATTTGCTGCTGCCTTTTACCACTTACGAGCTAACAAAAAAAAGAATTACAATATAAGTTTCAAGTGTCATAGATTGCGGTTGCGGGTGTGCGGTCTACCATTTAGTATACAGATATCTCGTTATATATGCATATATATATATTTATATATTAGTGTTTTTTTTATGGTTAGCTTAGATTGCACATGTTTATACACATTCAAAGGACACGCAGATCGAAGCACATGAAATGAACAGTAAACAAATTCACGAACATGGATTACGGCTTAGGAACTCAGACATACATCGGCTCTACGACCCGCCCAATTAAAATATATCCCGCCCCCGGAATTACAATACCCCCTTTTCCATCCACTTACCATTCCCAACACTCATATCCTACACAAAAAACAGGAAAAATCACTAAAAATCAACTTGACTTTGGCTTCACAATGTTTACGACTAGTTTAAAGTTTCTATGTATTTCCATGAATTTTTGGTATTTTTGGTATTTCGGTAATTACTTATCGCTAATATGACTAGTTTTATGGCTCGGGCTTACCACGGGCCTGGAAAAAATACAAAAAAAAAAAGAGTAACTTGATACAATGCTGTTTAAAATTTACGTTTATTTCTTGTGTTCTTCTTTTTTTATATCTTAAAAACTCACAGAAACGTGTTCAAAGGGGCTGGCCTTTCTGCCCTCAAATTTGCTAAGTATTTCTGCCTTAATCCCTAGATTATATTCTTGGCTCTGTATTTAACTATATGCTATATGGAGGGCCTTGAAGCTCTCCAACAAATTCTACTAAAAGTTGATCGTTTTGGTTTCGTTTATATGCTCATAGGGTTATGAAAAAAAAACACACACACACATGCACTCGCAAAATTCTAGAGATTTAAAAACAATGCTTTAGATGCCTATTAGTGAGTTATGCAATATCTTATCTCCCCCAAAACTATGTACAAGATTAATATTCTCATCGAATTGCAGATTTCTAATATTTCACTTCTGGACATCCAAGCTGGTTTATTTAAACTCGAAAGGTTTCTGGTTTGCCCCAGGTATATACAATATCTTGACAAACTTCCTATCTTCTCATCTTCCAGTTGTCGATAACCGATTGATATTTTCTAAATTAAAAATTAACTTGAAGGAATCTTCTGCATTATTATTCCTGAAAAACTTTGTAGAAACAACACTTCATGTTTTAGTAAGCCCTCTCTCCCATTGCACTTGAAATCTTCTATCGATAACTTGTTTATAAGATGCCTTCATTAGTTTGATAACTTCGATAACATATTATAAACTTGAAACTTCTGAAGGGAATTTTTATACACAATAATTATAAATTTTCGAAGTCAAGGTCACAAGATTTTTCTAATCCTTTATCGCTTGAAATATCAATGGTATGGAATCACCCTCAGTTAATCGATTATCTCCAACTGAAACTAGCTCTTACACCCCCTTCTATGTACAGATTAGAAGCCCCCAAAGCAATTCATGCCCCCACCCATGCCCATGCCCAGACCCATTCCCGCACCCATTCCCACGCCCACCCCCGCCTCGTGCTGCGGCCCGCCCCCCTCGCACTATAGAACCGCCGAGCCGCACCACAGAACCTGACCTCAATAGGGCCTCCAAACGCTGCCCCCATTGTCGGTGGGATTGTGGTGGCCGCGATGGGCAGCTAAGGCGGCCACCTGCCGATTGCTATTCCCGTCCTCGATATTTCTCACAGAGGCGCCACAGTTGCCGATCAGGGTCAGATCACCCGGATGGGTTACGCCCCCGCCGGCCATTATGTTGTGCTGCTGCCGTACGCCCACATTGCTGATATGATCCATGACACTCTGGAGTTCCCCGTGAACGGAGGAGTTCGGCGAAGCGTGGGCGGGCAAAGTGTGCGAATGGAATCCATGGGCGGACTGATTGGCAGCGGTATAGAGTTGGGAGTACAACAGACTGGCGGGCAGTACGGGATACAGCGAGCCATTGCATCCGGCGGCAGCGGCGGCGGCACTGCCATGACCTCCTCCTACCACTCCGGAACCACCACCATAGGCCGAGGCAGCCGAATGCTGCGCCTGGTTGACAATGCCCGGGAAATTCTGATTGGCACCCAGCATCGAGGGATTACCCACCGCCGAAGAGGCACCGGCTCCTCCGGCACCACTGCCCGCCGCTCCACTTCCCGCATTTGCGCCCGCACCATTGGCCGCTCCACCGCCCGCCGTGCTGCCAAGGTTTGGTGTATTGGTGGTCAGCAGATCCTCCTGCACCGGCGATTCCGCTTGGGAACTATCCGATAAGCTTCGCGGTCCATTCTGACTTGAGTGCACATTGTACTCGTTGCTGGCATTCGTGTGATAACGCGGCACCAGGATGGAGTTCCCGCCGGCACCACCGCCTGCACCACCACCGCTGCCCGCACCACCGCCGGCGGCTCCGGCTCCGGCACTTCCGCCTCCGCTCGCCCCGTTCACGGTGGAAGAGATCGAGGTCTGGCCGCCGGCGCCCAGCAGGCTGTGGTGCGTCATCTGGCCACTGGTCGAACCCACCAGGCTGCTTAGGTGCTGATCGAGATCGCTAGCCGTCGAGTCGGGCAGCACTGCAAGAAAAAAGTGCGTTGAAGGATTGTTATTTAATAAAATCAAAATAAAATGCATTTTAGCTTTCTTATTACATATATATGTATGTATTTGTGTACTTAACTTTACTTTGTTTACTTATGGTTTTGAGATGAGTGGCAACGACAGACTCTACGATTGTTATGAATACGATGGAAAGTAATCGATAGGAAGCTAGGCAGTCAACCAGGGAGGGAGATCATGTGTTGCCAACTGCATTCAATTTTCAATAAAGCTTTAAATTAAGCAAACTTTAAGAATAAAATTCAAACTTCTTCGTTTTCCATTATACTGGATTAATCGATTATAACACGGTATAGACATGTTTAAGTATAAATATTATCTTTTAGACTTTAGTAAGATCGCATGATTCCTTAGGATTAAGCCATAAAAATAGTTTAAACTACCTGCAACTCTATTATTAACTCTGGTTTGTATATATTCATATATAAATTTTTAAACTAATCTTTAACACTTGACAAAACATTTACCTAAATTTGTTATCATATTAAAACTCATTCTTAGTCCTTAAGTTTGTTAAGTAACAAAGACTTACTCGGCACGCAGTCGCGATTGGTGGCTCCTCCGAAGTCCTGGTTGTTGGTCTGATCGTTCGAGGAGCAGGTGAAGCCCAGGGCTGGATTGTTGAACTGGGCGGAAGTGGGCGTGGTGCAAGATGATAGTCCGCTACTAGCCAAGTACGGCGAATACGCTGAGGCCGCTGATCCATAGCCCCAGTGAGTGTTGCTGGCACCTGAAAGTGATGTAAAATATTAAAGAAAATTTATCAGAATATTTTTAAAATTTATAGTAAATAGAGAGTAAGAGAGTAAATCTAAAAATAAACTTTAAAAATCTAGAAACCCTAGAAAAAGATATATCTTAATCGTATTTAAACCCAAAATAAATACTAGATAATTGGGGATTAGCCCCGATAGAAGGTCTTGTCCAGTCGAATTTATGTCCATGTGGGCCGCTAATTGGAGGTCACCTCATCATCCACCGATTTGCCCACATTATGCGGGACCTTTGCCGCCATTTTGCGGAGACAGGATGTGGAACAAAAAATATAAACGACAAACAAATCAATGGAATGGACCGGACCCCTTAGACCCCATTGCCGAAAAACCAGCTCAGTTTGGTCCATTTGGACAGCGGGGCTGTCGGGGGTTAAACAGAAGCCGGGGGAGGAGGGAGGAAAGGAGAGGCAACATTTTGCGGGTCGCCGGGACCCATGCACAGATAATTAGGCTTAATTAATAGCCCATTCGGAAATTATTAATTAGTTTTTATAGGCGACGGGCGCGTTTTCGTAGCCGGATATTGATTTTGTGGTGGCTTTATTAATGCTATTGGCTTAAATGTTTCTACCTCCATTAATTACGTGGCTTTTTGTGTACAATTTTCTCTGTGGGATGTGGGCTACTCTACACGGTGTCTGTCATTATTCGCGCCAGTGTGCGTGTGGCTGTCCTTGTATCTGTGTGGCTGTATCTGTGTGCGAGAGTGGTTAGTCCTGCCTGTTTGTTGTCACACTGATTGACTTTATTTGCGCATATTTTCGGGCCCTGAATTATTAACAAGGCACCGGACGGCCGACCATTTTCGGACCATTTTCCATTTTCCGCTAGGAGATGGAATGGGGATGGGGCAAAATAAATGCAAATATTTTATTAACAAAGCTTTTTACAACAACAACAACAACAACCAAATAACAAGATATACAAGTTTAAACTTAAGTTAAAAATTTCCATTTAATGCCACCCGTTTTACTACAACAATACAAACTAATTTTCACGCTCCTCTTAACCCTAGATAAATCCTTTAAATCCCTTAAAAATTCACATCAAGCCCTTGCCCCTCGTCTTTCCGGTTGGGTTTCATGATTTCATTTTTTGTGTGTGTGTTTTTTTTTTTTTTTTTTTGCGAAATTAATAAAATATATGCCAGTAATTAAGTCAAGCAGCGACTGTCAATAAAATTTGTTAATAAATAATTCAGGATACTTTGCTTTTTGCATATTTACAATTAATTTATGGGTAATCAGTATCAACAGACGCTTTCAGTAATCATTATTTACTTGTATGGCTCGGCTCGGCTCCCCTGTTCCCCTGTTCTCCTGTTCTCCGCATACTCGCACATATTTATGTGTGTTATATAATGTGGATTGCCTTTTCAGAATCCTGTAAATCGTGCAATTTGCATTTTGATTTGTGCACTGGGCTAGACGGTAAAATATTGACACAAAGTGGGCGAGTCGGGCGTAGGAGAAATGCTCGAAATTGGCAGGCAATTTGCGCATTGATTGAGTTGCATTTTATATTTATGGCGGCTTTTTTTATTCGCATACCGGATTTTAAGTTCACCGGAATCACTCTGGTCAGGTGCGGTAATGAAGGATAAGTGGCAAGTGCAACGATTAATGAATTGCTAAAATACTTACATTAAAAGCCAAGCAAGAAGTGATTAGAGTTCTTAGAAGCCAAGCCAAGTGGTTTTCACATCAATGGCACTCTGCTCGGCTTTTTATGTAAATTAAAATTGCATTTTAACAGCAAAGAATCACAGTTTTCAGTTTGACTTAAGCCCATATTAAATTTAAACACACTTCAGGGAGAAAAATTTATTAATTGATTACCAAAAAAAAAAAGAAAAAAAGAAAGGAAAAGCAAATATTTTTAATGCACTCGAGCCGAATTCTTTCATAATTATTTTCCACATCGAATATATACACTGCTTAAATATCGCCCAACTCTTTGTCTTTGCCTTTCTCTACTTTAACATTGTTAATATGTTAATTTCATTATTTTCAGCTTTTTTAATAGCATCAAGCTCTAAAGAGAAAATCACATTTGTAGCCGTTGCCGTTTTTGTGTGTTTTTTAGCCTCGGGCAGCTAGTTTTTCGGGGGGCGAAAGGGGACCATGTCTAGTCCGGCTTTTGTTGCTGATGTTGTTGTAATGCAATTAATTGTCAATTTAAATTGAAACATCAAATTTAATATAAATGCATTTTAAAATGTACAATTAAATTTATTTCACCTACGCGAGCGCATCAGCAAAAACAGCAAGAAAAATTTGTCTCCCGCAATATTAATTATTGATTTTGTTATGAATATTCTATGAATGGAGACTGGAGGGCGGATGGATATATAATAGGGAATAGAATACAAAATAATATGAAATTATAAAATATATAATGTAATATTTTAAGTACAATAACTATATCAACTTGAAAGTCCTCCATCAGTTTTAAATTTAAACTTTCCCTTAAGGGATATCAAAGCCTTCGAATCTTGCCTTAACACCATCTCACCCAGCCTAGTATTTGAGCTGTCAAAATTGGTTTATATTCGCTTCGTTAAATGCATTAAATTTATGTGACTGCGTAGTTTTTCATTTAAATCATAATTCGCATGCCAGCCTCTGATTTAAAAGCACTTTTTTAGGCGTTGACTTTTTTCACCCCTTCTGCCGCTTTTCCTCGGTTGCGTGTGGGTGTGCTTGTGTTTGACCAACGTTTATTTGTTTGTATAGTAAACTTTGGTTAAATAAAGTGGCCAACAGTTTAACAGCAACAATAACAACGAACCCACTTAGCCCAGAAAAAAAGCCTATATGGCAAGGTGACCCGCAATTTTACCACATTCAAATGGTTGTCCAGCGGCAATAATACGAAAAAAAAAAAAGTATGACAGAGCCAGTTTTTAAAGTTATTTTTTATCTCATTAATAGGCGACATATACGTTGCCATTTTTGTCCGTCACTTCGTGTATTTGCTGGCCAATAAAATTGTAAAATAATTAATTAGTGTCTTGGCTGGTTGAGAGGAAAAGGCTGACTTGAAATATTGCAGGAGAGAGAGAGGACTTTCCGAATGAGATTTGAGATTTGAGATTTCTATTGTTACTTAACCGCGTTTCTAAAGCTGCTTAAACAAATTGGAAATGGGATTTCCTTTTAAGAATATTTATTTATCATTTTTCCCCTCTAAAAAGTCTCCTATGTCAGCGACCTTATGGCTGTGGTTAAAGTACAAAAACAAACTAAAATTATTTAATAAATTTGATTAAGGATTAAGGATTAAGGATTACTTACTCTGACAATTGCCAATGGGCGGCATCCGGAAGCCGGAAAGTGGATCCGTGGAGAAGTGGAAGGGTCGTTGGCCAAAAGCGAAGTGGAACTGCTGTTGCTGTCCTAAAAGGGATAACACTAAGTTTTTTTCAGTTATATTTTTCTGTCCTTAACTAAATGGTTTCATTGCACTAGAACAGTGATCGATGGCACATTGCATAGACTTTTTGAGCAGTGTACTAAGTTCTTTTCTATTAAAAGCAATTATGTTTGTATTTTAAGGATAATTTTTAGCATATTTAAACCAAAAAGTCTTCAATTTACGATCGATCACTGTACTATTTAAGTGTCTTTGTGTAAATGACTGTAATCGTGTCTCTCTGTCTTAGTGAAAACTTGAATGGCAAACAGTAGATGAGTGACATTTTGTTGCTTTCGAATCACTTAAGATGTAAAGACGGGCTCTTCCCCCCGCCCAAGTTCCAAGACCACCAACAACGAACTATCGACAATGGATTTTGTGTGTATGTGAAAGTGAAATGACAATGGCCCAAAAAAGTTTCTGCCAACCGGCGACACTTTCAGCTAAATTTTTGGCCCGCACTAAAATCCTGCGGCGGTTGCAGTTATCTGCCAGCTTGTATTCATTATAAAATAATAACCTTTTGTCTGCAGCTTAAAGCTCCCCGTGTGCCGCCCTCTCCACCACCCCTTTCTCTCTTTTGGACCCTGTCTGGCGTTCGGGCATATAAATCATTTCATGGATTTGAATTCGGACCGAAGCCAGATTACACAGACCAGCAAAACTTTACGGCTCCACCTCTCTCGTATTGCCCGCTTGCCTCTGTCTGAATCCTGGAACATATGCAAAGTAAAATGTATTTGCATCCTTATAAATATGTAACTGGCAGGCAGGCGGCAGGCAGGCAGAGTGTGTGATAGAGCTGTCTAATGAATATTCCTTCAAGATATTCGGCATTCTGAAGTGAAGTGAAATGAAGTGAAGTATTAGCAAGGAAGTGTCCTTGCTGCATCTGCAAAATCCCCAGCAAGGACTTCGGCAGAGTGGGATTGTAATATTTCGGAAGTGTTCTTAAGTTTTCTTCTTTCAGTGATGAGCTTTCAGCTTTTTGTTTAAGGAATCTAAGGGTTATAAAATGTTTATAGATCTTTCTTTTTTGATATTTTAACGGTGAAACTTTAACATTTTAGGCAACTCTGTAATACAGTTTGCATTTCAGCTTATGAAACCTGAAAAATGTCCAAAAAAGGTAAACATTTTGGTTTATAAAAGTTTTATAACAAACACTAAAGATTTCTTAGTACTTCTAATGGTAAAAACTAACCGCATTTCAAGCATATTTCTCTCAAAAAATGAAGTTAAATGTCCAAGAACTTAACTTCCATTTCAGCCAACTTCCCCCAGCACTGACATTAATGAAATCCGAATGCCTGGACCCCGAAACTCCTTCCAGTCCTGGCAAAAATCTATCTCGTCTGCATCTCTGAGAGCTGCCTGCTGCTGCTGTAGAGCAATTTATCTATTTGGCAACTAATAAATTGTTATGCATTGTCCTGCAAATGAAATAGCCGAGAACCAAAGGGCTTCTGGTCTTGGAAACTGGGAGGGAAGCAACCCATCCTGCTCTAGATTTAGCATAGAATATAGACTATACTTACTTGTCTTGGAACGGGGTTCGCGTGGCCCATCGACAGTCACTTTGATCGCCTTGTTGTAGGTGGCTATGTGCGGTGGATTCGTTGACACGGTGATGGTTAGCGTGAAGCTTTTCCCTGCAAAGTGGAAAAACAAGGAAAATGAAATAAACAAATTTATGAGATTTTCTCAGCCTAATGTCTGCCAGTCATGCAAATCAATAAACATGTTTTTTTGGGGTTTTCTTTCGTTGTTTTTTGGGGGTATTGTCACATCGTAAATGTGTTGGCCATAAAAATATAATGGTATAGGAAGGGAGGAGGCTGAACTACTTTTGCAAAAGGAAAACATTTTGTTAATCGATTTCTATGGTTTCTATTTTTGTTACGCGATCTTAAAGTTAACTTTTAAGCATTTATTTCAAGTTCTGAATAGTCTTAAGTCTTCCCTGTGACATCCCTTGTTCAGATTCCCATTCACCTTCCGTTTCTCGAAATAAAGAATTAATTACAATTTAAACTGATTTAGTCTGCAGCCTCCCCCCCGAAAGAACCCTTCACATATGCCTCGTTCGCGCCCCAAGATTTATTTCGTTTGCGCCGCAGTTTTCTTTTAATTAACTTGTTTCAGCCAGTCATTGTCAAGTGTTGCCAAGGCCTTTTTGTCCGCAGCTCCTGCCATTTTTTGTCGCCCGGGATTCAATTAAAAGCATTTCAGGCTCCTTGAGCCGCGCCGCCTTCCTGCCTGTGTCTTCCTGCCTGTCTTGTCTATGACAACGCGGCGTATGTGCGACTTTCGTGGGGGGGGGCTGGAGGTTTGCTTTTTAAGTTGACAAACAAAGCGTAAATCATTTCGGCACATACAAATAAACCGCCGACGCCCCCAAACTCCATAACAGATATATATATATATGCGCTATGTATCAAGGCAGACGGAGAGGCTTACACATGTCCTGGGCACACTCCACTGAACCAGGACAATATCTTCCTCTCGACTTGCTTAAAAAATGAAGTCTCAAGTGGCAACCCGAAGATGGGAAAACACTTTTGTGTTCATTTGCCATCAAGTGCAGTTCATTGTTGGGCAATTTTTTGACACTTTTCGTGGTGTTTTCCTGGGCGAGAAGTGGGTTTGCCGGAAAAGTTCTGAGATTGCCAATGGATAATCGATCATTAAAGCGAGTAATTTGGGGGCGAATGGAGAGGGTGTAGTTTTTTTTGACCATGGGAAAAGCCAACTGCGGGATTTTTTAGATGCCTTTCTTTATATTTGTAGTTTAGATTATCTTATTAACTGTACTTTCTTCGCTGATTAAACTCTATTTTCTTAGCAGACTATCTGAAAATCTTCAAGTAACTTCGCATTTCAAGACTTTTAATGTTTACAGAATTTTAGGGGAAAATTCAACCCTTTTTCGAGGGGCAGGCAATTCAATTATAATCAGAGCACGCCGCCTTTGACCCAATTGATTGATAATCCCACAATAATTCCCACCCATCCGACCCAAAAGGCATTCATCTTAATCTCCGCCGAAAGTGCGACAAATGGGAATGTCAACACTTGAGGAGCAAAACATTTCCGTGTGGGTGTGGCGGCATTTAAAATCAAATCCTGTTGACAAATAACCTGAAATCCTAGCTGGCAAATCCCCGGCAATTTACCGTTGCACAGGCGTCATAAATCAATTTGGGGGTAATGAAAGCACACACACACACACACACAAACACAACCACACTCGTTCACTCCGCCCAAGGTACACAGATGCAAACGCACACACAAAGACGTTTGTCAATAGTCGAAGAAAAGGAAATGTATATTATTTAAAAGGATAATGGACAGGGAGACGTTCTCTGACACAAAAATTATATTTTAAAGCAGATTTTATAGATTTGAAAAAACATAAAAAAAGAAGTTTTATAATTTTATACCCCTAAAATTTGTAATATTCAGCTTAGATTGGGAAATAAAAGAATCATAAAAGGTTGAGCCTCTTTGTCTGAGATTTGGTAAGTTTTTCCCGCCCAAGTAGCTTTCCTCTAAGTCTTTCTTCCACTTCACTTCTTGGCCAAAAAATGGCTAAGCCCTTGAAAGCCCCGAAAGCCCGCCAGTAAGTCGCTCCAACACCAAAATAAAAACATTTTGCGGCTTCTTTGGTTTTCATCTTTTTTGTTTGCTTATTTTGATTGCTTGTTGATTTCTTGTTTGTGTTTACCTGAGGGTGGCCCTCTGCTCGAATGATTGATTGCAGGTGTGTGAAGTCTCATATAAGGAAAGGCCATATAAGGAAACAGGGTTATGTCTTATAGGGGAGGGGCGAAAATAAAATATATTTGTATTAGGGAGGATTAAAACCCGAAGAATTATTAAAAAATGTTGTGAAAGAAATATACCAATGGGAACTTATGTAAATTTTACAAATTTCAAGTTCGACTTTTTGTCATTCATTCAGAATGTCTCTAGAAAGGTTTCCATTACGAACATTCTGAGAGGTTTCACTTTTATCATTCGATCTGTTACTTTGCTAACCCATTTCCAACATTGATGACACGTGCACGTGTTTTACTCGCCATGTTAAGCCTTATTACCTTAACTTCTCAATAAAATATTATTGAAAAAGGTTTACTATATAGGTTTACCCCCAAACCAATTACAGTTTTTCCAAATTTTGTGGATAGAAGACTAGGCATCCCCATAGTACTCAAACTTTATACCAACTTTCTGGCTCTTACAGTTTCAGAGACCTAATAGCTCATGCGAACGGATGGGCAGACCTACAGATAAACAGACATGTCTAAACCTACTCAGCTATTGATCCTGATTAAGAACATATAATATATACCTTACAGTACCGAAGTCACTTCCTCCTCCCCGTTACATACTTCCCAACGAAACGGTATACCCCTTTACCCTTCCCCGTAGAGGGCATAATTATTGTTATATTTCGAAATAGTTTTCAGCACTTTGTAAGCGCATCGGAAATGGCCGTATGGGCCAAGTTTAATAGGTTTAATTGCATTTGGGCCCTGGCCTGGCTGCCTTTTTCCCGGTTCTAAGTTGTATTAAATCTGCACCTCACCCATGGGGCGTATGAGTGATTTACATTTCATTCGCCACCGTGGCCGTTGACGCCATTTTGTTTCGCTGCCAGTTTGCCGCTGCTTCTGTCTAATTACAATAACAAATGCATAGGCCATAGGTAGTTCGTCAGACCCCTCCACCATCCCCTCTTTTCAACGCCCCTTGCCCTCACGCCCTCACGCCCTCACGCCCTCACGCCCCTGTCATGCAATTTAATTACCCGGCCATCGATTTATTTGGCCCAACGCTAGGCTACACTTTTAATTAGCAAAGTGCCATGCACATGCACGCATGACGATGATGATGATGATGACGACAACGACGATGATGTTGATTGGAGGGGGTTAACACAGCGGACTTAAGGGGGGGCTTAAAGGGGTTAAAGTCGGTGCCAGTTTCCGCCAGTTACGAGAATAAAACACCCAGCCCCCTTTACCGTTCCGTTGTTCTTGGCCAGGAAAAAAGGCAAACCCTTAATCGAGCGCCATCCCCTTTGAGGTTTTTATTTACACAATTCTCGAGCCATTTAATACGGCCAAAAACAGCCGCAAAATGAACTGAGCCAAGAACTCCAGAAATCCCAAACCTCTTCACCTCCCGCCAAAGCAAAGATAAACATTCCCCAAAATCTTGGGGACAAAAGCGACAACAACCCCTGAAGCAAGGAGAATAAACCAAAAAAAAATATCCCCCTCAAAGATAAATGCCTAGCAGAAGTCGAGGCGTTAAAAAGGCAAAGAAAAAAGGCAACTTTCTGGCAGCAACTGACACCTTGCCCTGTGAAAAGGACACGCCTGTCTGTGGAAAAGGAAAAACAAGGAAATCCTCCGGAGCGGGGGAAGTCATGCCAAATTGTGCACAATTTGCTTTTGGCCTGCCTTCTGTTCTTTTCAATTTTTATCCCCACTTCCTCGATTGGGCTTTGTTTCTCGCCCGAACTTTGGTAATTGTGCGAGCCGAGGACGGAGATTTTCCCAGAGGCCTTGGGAAAGTGTCGGGCCAAGCAACAGGCTGACAATTGTCAACATTTTCAGTTATCATAATTTGAGTGCATGAGGCATGAGGCTTTTGATGGGTTAAATGAAAAATGACGGACACAAAGAGAGGGCTAAGTAGCAAGAACAAGCCTTGACATTTGTTTTCCTAAGTGGATAAGTTTGAAGTGAGAAGATTTCCCTTGCCTGCAGATGGATCTAAACTTAAAGTGCCTTGACAAACTGGTTAAAGAAAATCAGCGCGGAAAACGCATGTACGGCTTTCAATCTGCATTCCGCAGGCGGCCCAAATGAATGGGAAATTCCCAATTAAGGCGGCGCAAGGCAGGAAAACGCAGGGGCGGGAAATGTGCAGCGGGAAATGTTAAAGTGAAAGGCGAAAGGAAAGATGGAGCAGGAAACGACAGGGAATGGTAGACGAGAACGAGGACGCGGACACGCATCCATTTGGCATTGGCCGAATGATGACAATGAATGAATCCTCGGCGAGACACAGACACGCCCCCATACCATCGCCGCCGCCCCCAAAAACCGCTTATGTCCCCCTTTCGCTGGTCGAGGCTTTGGTTTTTGCGGTTCCACCGCAGCGGATGCGTAACGGCCGCACCCCCCACCCCCCTTTTTACAGACCAGGCCAAAATGACCAGCGGAATTGGGCTTAGTCCTTCCACGGCCGCAGAAAAACCTGCACCCAGGGCGAAAATCTTTTTTGGCCAGTCTTTGCTGATTGAATTATGGCTTGTGTGATTGATGGCAGGCCGTTGATTTTTATCGTGGCATGAGGCCAGCACTAAGAGCCTTTCTTTAATGATCATTTAAGGGGATTGCGATTAACAAAAATGTTCTTAAAAGGTTTCAGATTTAGCCATTAAATGTACAAAACTTAACTTAACTTAATAAGTTGAAAATAATTTAGCCCCCCCTTTAAGCACCCTTAAAAAGAACTCCCCATTTATGTCTGACAACCATGTCCGCCAGTTAACTTCACTTCCGTTTCGACAGTTTATTAAACACTTCAAGACAAAAAGCCCACACAAATGCTGACAGCAAAAAACGGCAAAACCTACCGAGTAATCCGCTTCTATTCGGTGAATGGAAGCGATGACGATGATGATGGTTACTGCTGATGAACTGCTGACAATTTGTGCAGCGCTTAACAAGCGGTTGAAAGGATACAAAAGGATTCGACTGGGCACCAAAAAAATGAACCGAAAAAAGGATGACAGCAATGCAAAAAGTTCCCCCCTTCAAAATAATACAAAGGCCAAACGGCCAAAGGGCTAAAGGGCTAAAGGGAACACGAGAAGAGCTGGCAAAACTTTTGGGCGATAATTGAACAAATTGTTTCGAGTGCAGTCGACGGTGTGAAAGTGGGAGGTCGTTGGGGCTTTTCAAGGGCCAATAAGAGGCGCCACTTGCCGGAGAAACTTTTAAGGACTGAGATTAACTGAAGATGGCCAGGGTCTCGCCGGGAATTCGACTTGATCGGGGTAAATATAAGACTACTTTTCCTAATTCAGAGTGTTTTACCTAAGCAACTTACAACTTTCTTTATGTTAACTAATATCTTTATCTTCGGAAAGCTGATTTTTATGCAAGTCAAGTAGTGCCTATCTAGGTCTGAACTCACCTCTGCCGCTCCTTCCAACGAACCGTAGATCATTGAACTTGGCCACCTGGTTCTTCATCACCGCCGTGCAGTTGCGCAGCTCCGCACAGTAGTTCTCATCGTTGCCCGCCCGCACGGTGACCATCGTTCCGTCCATGATGTCGCCCAGCGAGACGACCTTGAAGGCCACCGGCAGCGTCTTGTTGCTACGCCAGTGCGGCGGCAGGACTGTGCAGACGAAGAGCGGACTGCTGGTGCGGATCAGCTCGCCCGGATGTTCGGTGAGGAAGTCGCCCAGCGTTCGCTCAGCCAATATGTCAGAGGTCATCTTTGTGTATGCCTCATTTAAGAGTTGCGCGGGCGTTGGCGGTGTATTTTGCTCTGTGTTGTTGCTGTTGTTGTTGCCGCTGCTGTTGTTGTTGTTGCCGCTTGTGTTGTTGCTGCTGCCATTTGTGTTGCTTGAGTTGTTGTTGTTGTTGTTGCTGCTGGTGTTGTTGTTGTTGTTGTTGGTTGTGTTGTTGTTATTGTTATTGGCATTAGATGCCGTCGAATTGCTCGATGTGGTAGTTAAATGCATTTTGTAATTATTGCTATTGGCGCTGTAGTTGTGATAGTGTTGTTGTTGTTGTTGTTGTTGTTGTTGCTGATGTTGCAACAGTTGATGCTGTTGCTGCTGCTGCTGTTGTTGTTGTTGCAGATGAAGTTGTTGTTGCTCCTGCTGTGGCTGCTGCTCGAACTGCTCCAGTTGCCCTTGAGCGTGAGCCTGCACTTTTTTTAGCCGCACAATTTTGTCGTCCTTTAATCGCACCGCCTTGGAAAACAATCAAAAATCAGTTTGTACCCACAGCAGTACCAAATATCCTGTAAGCACAAATATTTAAAAACAAATTAGATACTTAAATCATTAATATTCGTAATTTTAAAGAACTTAAATTGTTATCTTATCTTATCTTTATATTAAAACAAAAACACCTTTAGAAGGGGTCACATAGGGAAAACCCCCATTAAATAAGAAACATTTTGAGCTTAAAAATTCCACTTAAATTCCAGCAAACTTGAGAAAGTATTCCTTTACGAACTGAATCACCCACTATCAAGTCCAGGCACCCGATTAGGTCATCAATCTGCTCCAGCTGAGGGCGGTAACTTCAATGGCAACCTTGCTCCGGCGACACCATAAAATTTCCCATTTGGCCTGGGCCTGTTAATGTCTTTAAATCACGGCCCCAAAATGGCATATTACATGGGTCCACCGAAATGGGGTGCAGTGAAATGCAGGACTGCAGTATGGCAGTATGGCAGGATGCAGGCATGTCCATGGGCATGGCCACCATAAACACAAATCAATTGTCAACCACTCGACGGGGGAAGGACTTCAGACGACTGGCAGGACTCGTATTGGTAGGGATTGGGGATGGTGATGTGAATGTGAATGTGAATGTGAACTCACATCCCAGCGGAACGCAATTTGCGTTGCACTTTTCAATTTCCGGCAAAGGACTTCATCGCCACCACTCTCGACGGCCATGCAACACTATCCAAATCTAGTCGCTGCTGTGCGGCATGTGCGAGGTATCCAGGACGATGGCTGGAGTATGGAGGACAGAGGACGAAGGACGAAGGACCCTGCACTCGTCACCGTAACCAGTGTCAAAATGATTGTGGACTCACGGGTGAGAATTTGTGGTTTGATACTTGCATATTTTGTCACTTGTCGACATTCGTGCAGCTTCCAAATATCACAAGGATCAGGGCCATATCCAGGATACAGACCCCTTTCAAAATAACCTAGTTCACCTGACTAGTTTTTTTTTTTAACATTTTTGTTCTAAGCAATTATTATTCAACTACTTTGATATTGTTACGGAATATTTAGTAGGGTAACTTGGTTTTTCTTTGACTTTTTCCGCACTTTTCAGCGATAGAATCTTAACAAAATGAGTCACAAAGCATTTGAAATCTAATGGAATGGACTTTCTCATACGTTATCCAGACCTTCTTTATAAAACATCGAATTTAAGTAAATTAAACAAATGTTATTCAAATAAGAGCTCCTTATAACATTTTCTAGGATGCGCTGAAACCCTTCACCAAAATCCGATACATTTTTACATTCTTAGGATAAAATTTGTAAGAAAATTAATACAGCGCCAAGCTGCCTGGGAAGAATGCCATCTGTACAGACTTCCTTTCCTCAGTTACCGTGATTCTTAACCACGATAACCATTCTCATTATCCACTTCCCAAAAATCAAACTTATCTGGATCCCCAGTCACACGGGCATTGCAGGTAACGAAAAAGCTGACTTTGCAGCAAAACACGCTGCCAAATTCCCCTTAACCTACACCCCTAACCTAAGCCCCAGTGATACATCCCGTTTCTTAAAATCTCTCCTACATGCAAAACAAACACAACTGCGTACCTTCGTTTGGTATCAAGAAATACTCAAGTTATCAACGTTTACCCAGCCCCTCAAAAACTCCCTCCTAAACAGAAGAGAACAAACCATCATCACCCGCCTCAGACTAGGACACTCATTCTTAACAAACGCCCACTACCTCGACAGAACAAGGAACAACGTGTGCCCATTATGCAACATCTCCCAGATTGACATCTACCACATTATTTGCTCCTGCCCCTCCCTTTCCACGCAAAGATCCTTATTCCTCAATAATCCCGATCCAATTACCACGATAGCTAACCCCAGAGATACAAACTCTTTAAACATCCTCAAATTCCTAAACAACTCCCAAATCACCTCCCAAATCTAACTAAATCAAAGTTTTTGTAAATAAAATGTAAAAAGTAATCCCTAGTAAGATCTTTTATATACTCATAAGCCAAACATTCACATTCAACATCCATATTCTAACTTAAGCCGAGCTGAAGGCCCTAGCTGCTAGCTGCTATTGCTCCTAGCCTAAGAGTTAGCTCTTAGTTTTAACTAATTGTTAGCCTTAGATAAATAAATAAATAAATAAAATAAATTAATACAAAATTTCCTGAAAAAAATGTTTAAAATTTTCTTAAATGTATGAGTTTGACCCTCCTTAAGAGGGGAATATCTGTGGACTTAACCATCTTGAAAATATGACAATCTGCCATGAAATAATAGGTTAATAGGAAATAATCCAATATCGATGGTTTTTGTGTCAATCAGACTGGTTTCTATTGAAATCAAAACTGACATTTTTTACAGATTTTATAAACATTTTTAGCTCTACTTTGTTGAAAAAATCTAAAAATTTTCCTACTCAAATTTAATTCAGAGAACTGATCGAAATGTATGAAAAAACTTCCATTAGATGGTTAATATAAACAGAAGAGCAGATCAATATTCTGTAAATTAAATCCATCAACTGGACTTTATTTCCAGTGTGAGACCCCATCGCGTGAGACCCGCATGGTCCTCTTCCCCACAATCCCCCCACATTGCTGACCGATAAAAATTACTTAAAAATGCCACAGCTCATGGGTTGACTTTTGGCCAACGAACAAAAAGGAAAAAAATGAACGCTGAACAGAAGAAAAGGCACGAAAAAATACTGTACACAAAATAACCGTCGACTGTCACACAAAGGGAAATGGTGGAAAATCTAGGGAAGTGGGAAAACGGGAAAATGGGAAAATGGGGCTGGGGGTTAACAAGCAGCAACGGCAACAACAACAAGGAGGCGCGATGCCAAAGAGGAAATCGCGGCAGAAATCCAACGGAAGCCAAACGTGTCGTCACGAGTCCAGACAACACACCAACACACACACACACACACTGGAAAATGGGCGGAGAAAAGCGCGGAAAATGCAAAAGCGGCATGGGTTAATGGTGCTTGTTTCAGTTCCAACGTCATTTGCCTTTCATTTCGTTGGCCTGCCTTTTATTGTAAATTTACTTTATAAAGGTTATTACCGAGCTCGAGATAAAAAACGAGAAGGAGCCAAGAAAAAACGGGAGGAAGTAGGTGAGATAAGCGGCAAAAGGGGGTTAAAACTGGGCCAGACCGGACTCTCAAATTAAGTTGAGGAGCCAGCTGTGGCGGGTTAATCGATGCCCTTTACTTTGCCACTTCGAGAAGCTTGCAGAAAGGCGGTTCCTTTGGTTTAAGTTTATAAAAAAAAGTAAGGAAAAACTTTTTAAACAAAAGAAAATGCAGAAGTGAAAGTCTTATTCAGTTTTGCTTTTATCTTAATGTACTAACATATATGATAATCTTATCATATTTAACCTTTTCTATCAACTTATAGAAAACTTTCAAGATTACAGGGTATTCGACAGCAGTGGCAGCTCAAGTGGAAAATATTGACGGCCAGAGAGGAGTGAAAAAATCAGCGACAAGTGCTCGACAAACGCGCCATAATCCGCGCTCGCCGTCACCGAAAGGTTGGCAGAACTGGCAGGACTCACAGGACTCACAGGACATGGACACGCGCGGTTTGTCACCTCGTTGTTGTTGTTGGAGAGATACACTTTTTTTTTTTTTGTGCTCACTACTATTGCTGCAGACTGAGAGCGGACGACGGAGGGGCTAAATCAAAATTCATGGTTGCTGTTAAAACCGGGTATCAATAGACGGGCGAGGACCCCTGGGTTACACGCAAGTTTAACCCTTTGATGGCTCGCGTTCACCCGTTGGACCCATTAACCACCCTGGGCACCCTGAACACCCTGAACACCCTGAACACCCTGGCCACCCATCACCCAGCCGACACATGTACGACATGTAAATTGTTTCAATTTGCGGCATTTGCCGTAAAGCTGCGCAATTTTCGACATGCCATGGATACCCATGGACCTGTCCATCCAGCAACAAACCCATTTTGTGTGCGTGAGTGGGTGGCTTTGACCATTTTTTGTATTTGCCATCCCACACCTCGCCTCTCCCCAAACGTTCAGTTTTTTCCACCCATAGTTTGCCACGTCCATCTGTTGGACTCCCATGGCGGAATGCCAGCGGAAGGGGCAGCAAAAAATGGCAAACCCAAATACTAAACTTGTTAAATGTTATAGCTATATATGTATGCTCAGATATATATATGTATATATAGATCGGGTGGTGTGCAGATGGGCTACTGGCGCTGCTACTTTGATGTAGTTAAATTTTAATTGGACTTTGGGTTTTTGCTGCCCCGTCTGTGGTATTTTAGCCAGCAGCAACAGCAGCATCAGCAGCAGCAACAATGTCAAGCATGTGTGTGTTAGTTGTTATTATGGCATTCGAATATTTCGCATGCTAAGTCCACAAAAAAGCTTCTGATCCGGCTAATAGGGGTTAAGAAAAGTCAATGGAATCTTTGGGGGACTTTTGCAAATGGGCTTAAAGAAGTGAGTGATTAGCCAAGGGCCTGTAGTTTCATCTTTCAAAAGCAAGATCTATCCAATCTCTGATTTAGCAACCATAATTCAGCTGGAAAGTAAGCCGCAAACACCTGTCTAATAAGAGCCTAGCTTACAAAGAGACCTACAGAGAGAGTGGCCAATAAATCCCCGTTTTAATTTCCCCACCTCACCAATCAATTTATCTTTTCCACTCGGTGCCAGCAGCAGCAGCAGCAGCAGCAGAGGGAACAGCAGAGGAAACAGCAGGGAACATGGCCAGAAATTAACAACATTTGCTAACTGAGAACAAATTAAGTCATACATTGTTTATAAGTGCTCAAAGTGCGGCACCACAGAAGCCCCAGGATTCGGGAATCTCGACTTCGGGTGTCTGTGTGTTCGCTTTAATGCCTAAATCAACTAAATTTGCGGGCAGCAAACTTATTTCCGGCATGCCCAGAACACTTACCCCAAACAAACCAGTCGCACCCAGACCCGGACCCGGACCCGGACCCGGAATCAAGAGTCCAAGAAGGAGTGGACACCAAAATTCAACCATAAATTGATGCAGTAACACGCCCTCCAGACCTCCACAGAACTCCACTCGGAGAACTGCAGTTCCCAGCCAAACAACAACTACAGCAGCAGTCAAACAAAAGAAAAAAAAAAAAGGAAAAAAAAAAGCAAAGGCTGCAGTCTTGCTGCAATCCAATGCAGTGCAATGCAATCCTTTCGTCCTGTTGGATCCTGTCCGTCCCAAGCCCCAAAAAGCGAGCAACCAACAATGCCAAGTTTTCGGTCAACTTTCGGCCAAAACAATGCCCAATCCTGTGTGTTAACCCCTTCCCCCTACCTTAACCCATGTCCGCAAAGGCCCCCCCCCTTCACACCGAAAAAACACACACGGGCCACGCATCTTGTGCTCGTCCTTGGTCCTGGCTCCTCACTTTTTCAGTGCGTGTGCACTGAGAGAAATTGACGGTTAAGGGATTCCAATCGAGAAACGATACAGTAATAGGCGCCCTGTTATTTCTGGCAGTGCAAGTGTGCAGGCTCCGGGTCCTTGCATCCTGCGAGTGCATCCTGCAACTGCAGCTGCAACTGGAGATGGAGAACTGGTGATGGCGATGGCGATGGTAATGGAGATACAGATGCAGGAGGAGATGGATGCAGAAACAGAGACAGAGACAGAGACGGAGCTGGAGCTGGAGAGCCTGGGACTTTCTCTGGTCAATTCGCGGTTTTGCTTGTCACTTAGCCGACGGCCGGCGGCGCAGCGTTGGCCATTTGATAAACGACAAACGACGAGGAGACGACAAGGACATTTCCCAGGGAAAAGCGGAAAAGCGGAGTGGGTGTCCTTTTGAGGCGACAATGTGACGACATTTGAGCCCAAACGCAAGGGGCGCTGCTAACGGAGTGATACTGTACTGCGGCCAGGGCGAACAGTACAGGGGGCACTCGACTGCCCAGCACCGCATTGAATTATCCCACCGAGGTGCGTGGCAGTTTGTCAGCCTGGGGTTAAACTTGCCCCGGGGCCAGGATTAAGTCGTGAATTTGCTTGGTGAGTTAGTAAGTTAGTTAGGACCCAGGAATGTTAGTGGTACTTTAAGGTGATGTTGGGAGCCAAGAAGCACAAATTCTAAAAGTAATAATAATTATATCAAACAGAGTTTATTAGGATTTTGGTATCTTCCTGGGAAAACTGATAACAAACTTATAATTTCATTGATTAGGAAACTAGAACTTAAAGACGGTAACTCAAGGTGTTTAGCTCATCAGGTCTTTAGTTAATACCTTAAGATATTTAGAATGCAATTAAGTTGTTTCCTAGGGTATTGTGAATTCGCCTTGGGATATCCAAGAGCTTCCTATGACTCCTGCTCTCCATTTGCGGACGTCTGCCTGTGTGTTATGCTTAAGCTTTAAGTGGCGTAATAAGTCCAGATTGCAGCCTGTTCTGGCCGTTGTCCTGAGGTCCCCGGGTCCTCAACTCAACATCCTTGGCCTGCCGGTTGTCCTTGTTTGTTTGCCTGTGCCCGCAGAGCTGGCCGTTGGCTTTTGCTTTTAAGCCAGAAAGGACTAGGCCCGAAAATGGGTGGCCAGAAACTGTTGGAGGCGTTTAACATTTTTGAGGCTTGATTGGATTTGGCACTGGCCTGTGCGTAAAGTGAAAAATTGCATTTTGAGCAGCTGCTGATGCTGCTGCTGCTGTAGTTGCACTTGCAACATGCAGCAAGTGTTGCAAGTTGCTGGCGCTTTTGCTTTTGTTTTTATTGTTGATGAAGTCGGCTTTGGTTTTGGTTTCATTTGGTTTTGCTGGTCAGCCCCGGCTGCGGCTGTCTGTTATTTTGAAATACTCGTTGAGTGGCTCGTTTGCGGTGAAATGCATGTGGCCACGCCCCCCCATTACACCCGAGCCCCCACCCTGGCCGCCTATTTTCACTATTTCCAACACCCCCAAAGAGTTAACACAATTGTTTTTGTACTCATCCTTCGATTTTCTTGGGCACTTTAAGCCGCTTTAAGTCGCCGTCAGCGGACCTTCGGTCACGCTTTATTCGGCACCGCCTTAAGTGCAATATTGCATTTCAACGGCAATTAAAATGCATTTTCCGGTTACTTGACACATAACATAATTTGCATTTCCGTAGGCATGCATTTAACCCCTCGTTGCCGCCCGGGGCGTTAGATTGTTTAAATGCAGAACCGATGCCAGGGGCAGATATTGTAATTGCAAAACAGCAGCAGCAGGAGCAGCAGCAGCAGTAACCGCAGACGCAGCCTCATCGACCATCACCCTAGCAACTTGCAACATGCAACATACAACTTGCAAGGCTGCCAGCCGGATGACGTTCCCCATCCACCATCCTCTTGTCCTCCTGTCTGAGTGTCACCTTCAGACAACACTGTCCATCCGGCGATTCTCCAATTCGATTGTCAGCTCTGTCAGAAATTGTCATCGCATTGCCCAGGATTTTTAAGAATTTCATCGTGATCATAAATTATTTTAAAATATTTTTTTATTCCAAAAATATTATCCCGAATGGTTTTTATTATTCTTATTAGCAAACTTGGAAATTTATTTTCCCAAAAATATATCATCTTATTTCTTGAGTTAGGTTTCCAACCGGTCAAGATCAGATCATTCAAATGCTGCTCTTAAAATGTTTGAATTTATTAAATGCTTTAAAACAATATTTAAATAATAAAAAAAAGACTAAAAAGTTTTTATCAGAATGATAGCTCAGCTGGGTTACATCTCTATAAATGATATATCGATATATCGCCGCACTAATACTCAAGTCAACTCACCGAAAGAACTAATGTCAGCTTGAAATCTGTCTGAAAATTGCACTTTCACTATTCATTTGGCATTCATCCTTATAAGTCAGAAGAAAAAATTTTTAGAATGAATAACCAGTCTGAAAATAAGGGTTCGGGGTCTCCAGTGGCCGAGGGTGCCTCCACATTGTCGAATGACTTGATTGTTACCGCTCCCTCTGGTGACCACGTGGCAGGAACTTCCTCACATGGACGCATTAGCCTTGGAGGATCTGGTGATCAGGCTGAAGACCCTAAGCCTCATATCACTGAGTTGTTTGAGACTATTGAATGTGAGTCAACGGTTTTTTTCCATAAAGATGATGTATCTAACGGTGGAGATTCCAAAGATGTTCCACCTAAGTTGCACAACAATGCTAATGTTGAGACCTCCAAAGACGTTGTTCCTAAGAGTACAGTTTTTTTGTTTACAGATGATGATTCTACCGACGATGATGATTTTATAGATGTTCCGAAGACTGCTGATCCTAAGACTAGTAAATCTGAAGGTGTCGATCCCGAAGCAGGGAAATCTACTGGGAATAGGGCTTGCCGCAGAGCACACTCCGAAGATGGACATTACAATCCGTACTCCGTGAAGAGGGCCTGTCAAGTTCTCTCACCTGAAGCTTTTGAACAGCTTTTGAGGTGCCTAGTATATACTCCTGAGAAAGAAGAGGATGCTCAAGAAGAAACCGATGCAAATCGCGGTGCTGAAGTTGACAATAAGGAGAATGCTCCCCCGACTGAAGTCGAGCAACGCGAGGAAGATGAAGTCGGTGAGGACCAGAAGAAGAGTGATTAACGTGAGCCCTAAAAACCCGATTAAGGGGTTCGAAACCAACTATGAACACCTACGAATATTAAATTGAACACAAATTTAATATAATATAGTTGGTTCCGAATAATTCAAAAACATACAAAATAAATATAAAATATTCACATATTATGACCGTGTACCGAGCTAAAGAGGAGAATGATCTAGCCGGTGAATGAGTTCCAATTCATATCCAAAATATGTAAAATAAAAATAAAGAAAAATTTGAACCTAAAATGTTTCAATTTTTATTCATTTAAAATCAATATAAAAGTTCTCTTGCCGGCTGGCTAGTGAAATATGTTAACGCCAATGTATGGCATGTTTCACATTCAACAAACGTAAAAGCTTTATTAAAATATTGTTGGTAAAATATCGATTACAATGTTGATATCAAACTTACAACTCTGCTGAGTTAGTCCTTTAACAGCGATATATCGATATATCACCGGAAAATAATGTCATATCTGCCTGAAAAGTGCAGACTCACTATATATTCGGAATTCATTCTTATAGGACATAAAAACGAATTTCAGGATGAATAATAAGTGTGAAAATAATGATTCGGGATCTCTAGTGCCCGAGGATGCCTCCGAATTAGTAGAAAGTTCCTCACATGGACGCATTAGCCCTGGAGGATCTGGTGGTCAGACGGAAGACCCTAAGCTTCACGACCCTGAGACCAACGACACCAAACTAGGTGAGACCACGGTGTTTGTGCATTAAGATGATGATTATAACTTTGGTGATTTGAAAGATGTACCGAAGAGTGAAGCTTCTAATGGCAGTGACTCTGCAAGGGAAGATGCTTCTAACGTTGGTGACTCCAAAGATGTTGTACCTAAGAGCGATGCTTCTAACGGCGGTGGGTCTACAGTTGTTTTGCCTAAAAATTATGATTCTAACGATTGTGATTTTATAGATGTACCGAAGACTGGTGATCCTAAGACTTGTGGATCTAAAGGTGGCGACCCCGAGGTAGAGAAACCTACTGCTCAGCCAAGGAGCGGGGAAGGGGTTTTGCGTAGCACCCAAAACCAAACTGGAAATTACGATCCGTATCGGGAACCTCCACCAGCAAAGAGGGCCCGTCGTGATCTCCCACCTAGAGCTATCGAACAGATTTTGAAGAACCTAGCCAACGACACTCCTGCTCAAGGGGAAACCGATGTAATTCGTGGTGCTGAAGTTGACAATAAGGAGAATGCTCCGCCGACTGAAGTCGAGCAACGCAATGAAGGAGAAGTCGGTGAGGATCAGAAGAAGAGTGATTAACGCGAACTCTAAAAACCCGATTGAGGGGTTCGAAACCAACTATGAATACCTAAGAATATTAAATTCAATTTAATATAGTTGGTTCCGAATAATTCAGAAAACATACAAAGCAAACATAAACTGTACACATATTATGACCGTGTACCGAGCAATAAAAACTGCTAAGGTGGAGCAGCCGATTCTGCGCTTCAAATCCTTCCATTATTAAACACAATATTTCAAGAAAGTTCTTGCCTGCTGACCAGTGTAATATGTTATCGCCAATGTATGGCATGTGTCGCATTCAGCAAACATCGCACAGCCACCCTGCTACCTTAACCCTTTGGCAAAACAATTGACAAGCCAGCACTCAGGGCGGGTGAGAGGCGGTTGTAGGTGATAAGAAAGAGAGGGCTGTATGTCCCCCCCTTTGCACAGAGTTTGTCCAAATCACCGAGTTTAACAAATTAAATGACTTCTAGTGCGTACATTGTTTTGACACGGATGTGACCCAAGGACCCCCCTTAAGCCCCAGCCCCCTCGATTTTCCGAAAACCCCCTTGAATCCCACATTTGCCCCTTTGGCAAAAGGGGTGTTAAGCCAGCGTCTGGACTTTGCCAAATTGCTGTTGATTGCTCGACACTCTTGGGAGTGCGAAAAACCCACCTGCAATGTGAAGCATTTGACAAGCCTCCGCCCACACCCTCACTCCCGGAATGATGGGGGGAAATTGCACTTTGCATGACATCTTGTCAACTGCAGTCAACAGTCCGGTTAGCTACGGCTTTCGGTTCGTTTTCGGTTTAATTATGGCGCAAACTGGAGCCTCAAATATGTATGTTTCCCTTCCTCTATTTTGAAGCAAAAAAAAAACAGAAGATGATGGAAAATACGAAATAGATGTTTCTTAAATAAAGGAGGGGCCTGTTTTCTGGGTGGTCTCTGTCGCCGCCTTTGATACATTTCATATTTTTAACGATCTCCACGCTTTATGTCTTTATAAATACACAAAATTATGAGCAATGATCTCTGGCCGCTGCGCTTGTTTTGTTTATAAGTTTATGGCAATTAAATTCCCTGCAATAACAAACAACAAATGCACTTGATCGTCGTGGAAAACTGGGGATGTTTCTGGAGGTAGGAAATTGTTTATGCCTTTGTTTTGTTGCCCCAACCAGATCGGCCATAAAAAGTGTGGCACAACAGCCGTGGAGTCGGAGATTACTCATGGGCTCAATGATAAATTGTCGGGGCAGAATGGGATATGTCATAGGGTTGGGTTAGGCAATATTTTAGAGGGTTAAATAGTTGTAAAATTGGAAAACTTAAAAAACAAAGAATGAAGATTTGGATATGTCATGGATTTAAGCAATATTTTAAAGGGTCAAATAGGGATTAAGAATATTATTAAATCAAAGTAAACTGAGCTATTGGAAATGCAATTGGCAACACATTGGTCTCCCTCCCTGGTAGACTGCATAACTACCTATCGATTACTTAATATCGCAAGTCACTAGCAAGTCCCTTCTCAGTCAGTCCTTGCCACACATCTCTATTGTCAAGAATGAAAATATGCTTTTATCTTTGTAAACAATATTCTTAAATAAAACTATTCGCGTTATCCAACCTAAAACTCCAAAAGGTTATGGGCCCTGCTCTCTTCCACTGCTTTCACTCCAAGATAAGGATCTTATATATATATAATTTGTGTCTTAGATTGTAAATTTAAATATTTTTAATATTTATAATGAGGAGGTTTATTAAAGATCATATGTACATACATATGTAAAATACCGTATGTGTGGCTTATTCACTTTTTTCACTTATTTTTTAGAATATTAATATTACAATTTACCTTGGACAGTAAATAATATTTTTTATATTATGATAAAATCATTTCTGTGTTTACTTTGAATTATTTTGCATTTTCTTTTTATACACTTTATTTTTCTCCTCCCAGGAATAATCACTTTGAATAAATCGCAGATGATATTTAAAACACTTTAAAAAAATTTTAAATATATATTTAATCTACTTTGACTTTGATTCTGCCTCTGTCTTTTTTAATAAATATATGTTCAGAGGGAGGAGCCTTTGAAAGGGGGGTTTTGAGGGGCGACCGCAGTGTCTGAGTCGGAATCTTCGACTAATTCCGAGTTGAGTTGAGAAACGCTGAGACATTTCGGTTGCCGTGGCTAAGCAAATCCCATTGGATCCCATTTCAGGCAGAGGAACATCCCAGGGGTGGTGTTGGGGTGAGTGCTCCTTCATTTGCCGCCTTTGATGATGTTAAAAATAAAATAAAACCGAATTAAGTCGCCCCCTTTTTTTGTGCTGTTTTTTTTCTTTGTTGAGTTACTTTGGCGTTGCCACATTTTGCACTCAACTCGACCGGCTGAGTTCCCACTCAGCTTGCCACTTTGTCCTCAGTGTAATGCGCCGTTGCAGGCTCTCAATTAGCAAATTAAGGACTCGCACTCGCACTCGCACACATGGAGCCCACCCACACGAACAGAAACTCAGGGGAACTCACTCAACAACACACACACACACTCGCACGTGCAGGCGACAAGGGTTGAACTCCGTGTGGAGCCTTGTTCTCTCGCAAAAAGTCCTTTCTCCACTCGAAAGTCCTTTCTGCAGCGACCCCGCCCCCCAAATAAAATGCAGGCCATTGCAGTCCAGCATTTCGATGTGTTTGTTCGGGTGGGGGTGTGTGGATGGTGTCTGTGTGTGAGTGTATGGGTGTGGGTGTGTATGAGTGAGTGGTCAGTTGTTGCTATTCCTGGATGGGGGATGGTCTGGCTATTCAGTTCTATTTAGATAATTCCAATCCTTAGCTTGATAACCATAATAGAACAAGGTAGAACTTTTATATTGAAAGTTTATTTATTTAATTTAATTTAAAAATTTTTAATTTATTTATATTATATATTAATTTTGTATTCTATAAATATTTTATTTTATGTACATAGGTATTTTATCTTATCGAAAAATAAGTATTTTTGGTATGAATTCATAACGAAATCGAAATAATAATAAAGGTCTGTATTAACTGTTCTATATACTGTTTTCTTTTTTATCTGTATAAATATTTTTACCATGAGAAACTATAATTTGTTGATGGTAATGATAATAATAATAATCATAATAATAATTAATACTAAGTGCTAATAATTATAACTTTTTCAAAAGCTAAAATATCGATTACAATGTTGGTTACAACTCTGCTAAGTTAATCTTTAAATGATATATCGATATATCGCCGCACTAATACTTAAGTCAATTCACCGAAAGAACTAATGTGAGCTTGTAATCTGCCTGAAAATTTCATTTTCACTATTCATTTGGCATTCATCCTTATAAGTCAGAAGAAAAAATTTTTAGAATGAATAACCAGTCTGAAAATAATGATTCGGGGTCTCCAGTGGCCGAGGGTGCCTCCACATTGTCGAATGACTTGATTATTACCGCTCCCTCTGGTGACCACGTGGCAGGAACTTCCTCACATGGACGCATTAGCCTTGGAGGATCTGGTGATCAGGCTGAAGACCCTAAGCCTCATATCACTGAGTTGTTTGAGACTATTGAATGTGAGTCAACGGTTTTTTTCCATAAAGATGATGTATCTAACGGTGGAGATTCCAAAGATGTTCCACCTAAGTTGCCCAACAATGCTAATGTTGAGACCTCCAAACACATTGTTCCTAAGAGTACAGTTTTTTTGTTTACAGATGATGATTCTACCGACGATGATGATTTCATAGATGTTCCGAAGACTGCTGATCCTAAGACTAGTAAATCTGAAGGTGTCGATCCCGAAGCAGGGAAACCTACTGCCCAGCCAAAGAACAAGAATAGGGCTTGCCGCAGAGCACACTCCGAAGATGGATATTACAATCCGCACTTCCAACCTCCTCCAGCAAGGAGGGCATGTCGAGTTTTCCCACCTGAATCTTTAGAACGGCTTTTGAGGTGCGTTGAAGATACTCCTGAGAAAGAAGAGGCTGCTCAAGGAGAAACCAATGTAAATCGCGGTGCTAAAGTTGACAATAAGGAGAATTGCTCCCCCGACTGAAGTCGAGCAACGCGAGGAAGATGAAGTCGTTGAGGACCAGAAGAAGAGTGATTAACGCGAACCCTAAAAACCCGATTAAGGGGTTCGAAACCAACTATGAATACATAAGAATATTAAATTGAATACAAATTGAATATAATATAGTTGGTTCCGAATAATTCAAACACATTTAAAATAAATATAAAATATTCACATATTATGACCGTGCACCGAGCTAAACAGGAGAATGATCTAGCCGGTGAATGAGTTCCAATTCATATCGAAAATATGTAAAATAAAAATAAAGAAAAATTTTAACCTAAAATGTTTCAATTTTTATTCATAAAAAACAATATAAAAGCCTTGCCTGCTGGCCAATGAAACATGTTAACGCCAATGTATGGCTTGTTTCACATTCAACAAACGTAAAAGCTTTATTAAAATATTGTTGGTAAAATATCGATTAAAATATTGATATCAAACTTACAACTCTGCTGAGTTAATCCTTTAACAGCGATATATCGATATATGACCGGAAAATAATGTCATATCTGCCTGAAAAGTGCAGACTCACTATACATTCGGAAATCATTCTTATAGGACATAAAAACGAATTTCAGGATGAATAATAAATGTGAAAATAATGATTTGGGATCTCCAGTGGCCGAGGATGCCTCCGAATTAGTAGGAAGTTCCTCACATGGACGCATTAGCCCTGGAGGATCTGGTGGTCAGACGGAAGACCCTAAGCCTGATATCACTGAGTCGAATGGCACTAATGAAGGTGAGTTATTGTACCTAAAGATGTTGATTCTAACGGTGGAGATTCCAAAGATGTTCCACCTGTTCCAGATGATGATTCTAACGATGATGATTTTATAGATGTTCCTAAGACTGCTGATCCTAATACTAGTAAATCTGAAGGTGTCGATCCCGAAGCAGGGAAATTTACTGCCCAGCCAAGGAACGAGAATAGAGCTCGCCGCAGAGCACACTCCGAAGATCTAAATTACGATCCGTACCCCATGAGGAGGGCCTGTCAAGATCTCCCACCTGAAGCTTTTGAACAGCTTTTGAGGCATTTAGAAAATTATCTTAAGAAAGAAGAGGCTGCTCAAGAAGAAACCGATGTAAATCGCGGTGCTGAAGTTGACAATAAGGAGAATGCTCCCCCGACTGAAGTCGAGCAACGCGAGGAAGATGAAGTCGATGAGGATCCGAAGACGAGTGATTAACGCGAACCCCAAAAACCCGATTAAGGGGTTCGAAACCAACTATGAATACCTACGAATATTAAATTGAATACAAATTTGATATAAAATAGTTGGTTCCGAATGATAACTTACAAAATATACACATGCCATGACTATGCACCAAGCAATAAAATCGTCCTTTCTATGTTTGGGCGTCTATAAAATTCCCTTTTCACATGAATTTTTATGTAAGAAACAAAATATGTATGCGGAAAAGCAATGCAAAATATCAATTGGGATCTTAATTAATTAGTAACCAATTTGAATTTTCCAAAGTATTTTTCCGGGGCCTGCACACATTTTGCTCCCTTGTTGCACATTTTTGCGGCCCTGATTTTATTAGGCCTGCGTTATATTTTACGCACCTCTGGATGTTGGGAGGCGCAGCCCCGCCCACACACACACAAACATTTTGCGGTGACTGTGTGTGAGGGATATTTGTGTGCAATTTTTAGTTAAATTATTTTTACACCCCGAATGGCAGACCAGAAACCAAAACACAAAAAAAAAAAAAAAAATCAGGAAAACCTGAACGCAAAATTCGATGCCATTTGAAATTTTTAGGGCCCGTGGGAGGCCTTCTGTGTGGCTATATATCCATATATGGGTATATATATATGCGTTGCACTTTGGGGATAGAACTGCACCCACATTTCTGCCGCCCACCCATTTTCCACACACACAAAGTGGCAAGTGCAGATTTGAAGTTATTACGAAAAACTAACCAACATTTTGTGGGTTTGAAGTTGTGTGGAATAATATTGGTAGACCCAAAAAGCCTTTGCTATGATTGTTGTTGTAAATATTTTTATTGCCCAGTCTACGGCAGATATATGTGTGTGCATTCTATATATATATATATATACAAATATCAGATGATGGAGTTGCAGCTGCAATGGCAATTGATGTATTGAGTTTTGTTGCAGGGAAAAACTAACCATTTGACAGGAAATAATTAACTGGCAGACCGGGGCAGGAACTCTATTTGAAAATGACACATGTATAGAGAGGCTTTCTTGGCCGGAACTTTAGCAATTACATTTTTTGTTTTTATATTTTACTAGAACTTCAAACATGTCGAAGGATACATTTATGATATGGGGTTGGGAAAGACTTCTGTTGGGAAAAGATAAGTTTTATTCACATTTCAAGGGTTCAAGTGTTAAAGGGTTTTATAAAGAGTTCATTATTTAATAAATGTATATAATTATTATCAAAAATGCGCACCTCTTTCCTTTTAGTTTTAAGTCGCTTAAAGTTAAGCAACTTAAAGAAGAACCTTTATTATTAGTTCACTTTTCCCTATTTACTGGCCATAATAAAGGTTCTTTAAGTATTTTAACAATCTCCCTTCAAGCTATATGAACTCAACCCTCTGCAATTTATGGCCATTGAAAATCGCAACCAATCAACAGCCAAAAACCGAAAAAAAAGCGTAAAAGGAAACTCGGGCTTAAACAACTCGCTATAATTTGTAGAGCCGAAACGAGAGGGGGGAAAAATGGCGAAAAAGAAGAAGGTGAAAAACCGCCAAACACACACGCAAACAAAAACAAGGTCCAAACAAATGCAACAACAATTGCCGCTGTTGCATTGTGGGTAGGAAAAATTACGAAACCAAAAATCAGCAACCAAATATGTGGTTGCCACCAACAAAAGGCCCAAAACAGAGAAAACATACAGCCCCCAGGGAACAGGGCGGGGCGGGACGGTGGGGCAGGTGAGTTGTTTGGTGGTCAATTTCTCTTTTTCCCCCCCACTGTCTGTCTGTCTGTCTGTCTGTCAAAGAAGCGAATGCAACAATGCAACAATTGTGAGGGGGTTAAGGGGTCCTTTTTTTCGTAACCCCCCTCGCACCACTATCAATTTGTTGCTGCAATAATAAACATGAGAGAACACGCGTGTTCCGTCCGCTTTTCCCTCCTTTTTTTTTCGGGATTTTTCCTGTTTTTTATATTTATTTTTTACACATATATATTTCGCCGTGAAGAGTGACTCTTTTATTATGCCTTTTTGGGCAACAACCCATTGCAACCAGAGGTTGTCTGACAGCTGTACAAACGCAGACCGACAAACAAGGGTTAAGGGGTCGGGCACAGTGCGAGGGGCAAGAGGTGGTCTCTGCTTTTCAGGACGCGTTTGGTCAGTTGGCTGGTTTCCGTTGCACACGCGGCGTATGCGTAATATGCGCACATGCAAAAAAGCAGGCAAAGGAAAATCAATATAAAAAAAATCGAGTAGAGAAGCGGAAAGGCAAACAAACTGCAAGGTCCATCTTGTGGACCTCCCCTGCTACTTCTTCCCACCCTGGTTTTTCCAAGCCATTGCAGTCAAACTTGTTGACAATCACGTGCAAGGCTTTTCCACTCTTGCACTTTGCTCCTTTTTGGGGTTTTGCATTTTGAGGCCAACATTGAGGCCACGAACTGCGGAATGGGTGCCACCTCATCCCCTGGTTTTCCCACTCACACACACACACACGCACTTCATCTCCATCTCCTTGGCTTTCCTTCCTTCGCCCCATGGCCATTGGGCTCTTAATTTTTTTGGGGGGCTTGTTTGTTCGGCTGGCGTGTAAATTTATGACGCTGGTTAAGTAGTTGCATGATAAAGCGATACCCTCGATGCGGTCAGGGATCTGGCTGTTTTCCCATAGATCTTACGGGGTATGATCAAGAATTAACTTTCTTATTAAAAGGAAATATTTTTTGAAAATGCCTCATTTTATAAGAAAAACTGAGAAATAAAGCTCAATTAACAAACTTAAAAATAACAAAACTTACATATTTTGAAGTACAGACATTGAGCTTTCTTTTCATTTGACATAATCATAGTTATTTTGGAAAATAGTTGGGAAAATATCACCTTCTTTTAAAGGTATAAAATATTCTACAAACATAGCAGACTTCCCAAAAGTAACTTAAGAACAAATGCCGAAACCATTCTGTATACCTTACTCATCATAATTAGCAAAATTTTTGTAAACATTTCAGAAACATTTCCGATCAATCCGATTTCCCCATTTCCTATCCATCTGCAGGTCATTCCACAGTCGGTGCTCCTTGCTCGCAGGATCCTCATTTACTTTTGGCCTGCTGTCCGAACTCGTTTGGTTTATCGGCCGTTCGGGAAGGTGGAGAAAGTGGTTGAGAAAGGGGGGAGAGCGGTAAAGCGGTGGCTGAGGTGTGTTGAGGGCCTTTCTCTGGTTACGCATTCTGGCCTGTTTGCCAATTTTTCAACAGCTTGTTAACATTTTGTCGCCCATCAATGCGAAATGTGCAGGACACACATGCACTCATCGAAAAAAAGGAGTGTAACTTATCTTGACAGGGAAATTAAAGGGGTGGGGAAAATGTGAAAATGGTAAATGGGGAGGCGAAGAAAACGCGTTAATGAAGTGTTGCTTGAGAGCTCATTATGCATTTTGCTCACGTTTTTAATTTTTAATTGCATTGCAGGCCGGCCGAACGCGAGTGTGTCCTGGTTTTCGTCCTTTCATTAAACGGCACCGCACGACGGCAAACGATTAAAATGACCGCCGAGCAGCAAATCGAATTAATTTTTGTAACGTGCAAATGGCCGGACAGCAAAAGTTTCCCGCACAAGGGAAAATCGCCGGAAAAGTGAAGGGTACAGCGGGGTAAGCTGGGCAAAATGAACAGGAAGGTGGCTGAAAGGGGGGGTATGCATTAAATCCTTGCTGCCACACGACACATTTAAGTTGCTGATTAAGCTTATGTACTCCGCACATTATGTACTCAAGCACATAAAGATGTAATGAGACGGGACCATGTTGCACCTGGCCCTTGGCCACAGAAACCAGCAGCAACATCGCATCTGCACGGCAGCGAAAATGTTCTGGCTTCGCTTTTAAATGGCTTTAATTGAAAATAATACACACATTACGGGGCACGGCAGTAATGAAATCACTAGGATCCCTTTAAAAACTTATTAAAACTTTCGAAAGAAATATGTAATCTTTAAGCTATAAGTCAGTCTGTAAGAGAAAACTAATTTTAAATACGCAAACTTAACTTTTTTAGAAGCAAGTATTTGTATTCAAAGTGGGCATCACCGGAATATACCTATATTTTGTCATAGCTTCCAAGATCACAACTTGCTTATAAGCAGATCGCCATTAAAAGACAGAACTCAGCTAGTCATGAGTATAGAGGGATGTCCTTATATGCAATGTAGAGTAGCAAGTATTGTTATTAACCTCAAAGAATATATTTGAAATATTTTAATATATTCTGTAAAAAGTTCCTTAAACCTTTTGCAAGTATTAAAAATATATCAAACTAATGTAGAAAGTTGAAATAAAATGAAGATTTTCAGAATGTCTTTGAAAATATAGCCAAATATTTTTTATAATAAGTTTAATATTATAAAACCAGGAATATTTCGAGTTCTTTTTGCAAGTAACTAGTAATGAATATTAATACAGCCAGCTGCAGCACGAAGACTTAACAAGAAAAGCCAGATCAGCAGCAACTTCGGCCAATGCAACGGCAACATCAATAACACGGCAGCAACATCATGAGGTCGGCTCATATTTTTTAATGAATATTGAGGATTAAAGGAATTTCAGCAGGATTTTCATTGAATTATGCATTTATTTTTTTTTTTTTTTTTTTTTTGTCGATTTTTTGGTCCAATCACAACCTCAGCAATGCCCAAACCATCGGCTCTTCCTGGCTGCGGTTGTTGATGCTGGGGAGCGAGCGACCGACCAGGAACATATATCCCATATATTTCTTTGTCGCACGCGATGATTTATTAAGTCATTAGCACTTGTGCGGCTGTTGTTGCTGTTGCTGATGTTGTTGCTGTTGCTGATGTTGTTGCTGTTGCTGATGTTGCTGCTGCCACGCCCCCACATGCAGGATGCAGGATTCAGGATGCAGGATGCGGATAAGCCCGCACAAACAGACGCACGCACACACAAGAGAACATACACACACACACACACACACCATACACTGGGCAGGACAGGACGGGCCAGCCAACCAACCAACCAACCAACCAGCCACCCCCTCATCATCATACAACTTGTAATTCTTATTAATTGTGTGCGCTGTTGCCGCTCATATATAAATATACACATGCCCGCACATACTTATGTATTTTTCAGGAGCCCTCCTGCAATGGCGGCCAGGACATTAATGCATTCGATCCAGGACATAGCATTAACTCTTTCAGTTTGCGCATTTTTAAATAG